CACTTTTGTTATTTTTACAGTTTACACAAACTATTATAATGAGGATGAGATTTAATCAAAAATTGTATTGAGTTTGATTTTCTCTGGATTTAAAGCTATTGGAGACAGGGGAGCACAAAAGAATCTAAAAAGGCAGATTTTACAGGTCGGATTGTTGAATTCCATTCTAATGCTAGTATCACCTCATCCTATGTGTGTAGAATGGACATTTTACCATTCTATGCCTTAGTTTCCCAACCTACAGAATAAGACCTTTCTTATCTCTTAGGGATGCTGTGACGATAATGTGATAGCGTATTTGAAAGAGCTCTAAGCACTTAGCAGGAAAGACATCGTAATCTCTCTCCAATTATCTTGTGTTATAAAGGGGACTAGCATAAGGAATAATTTAGGAATGCAGTGCTATAAAAATAATTGCATACACTTATTCAACCTGTCTCTTACTCTTTCTCATACATGCCTATTCTATTAATGTCTGTCCTGGAGCGGGTAGATAGGGTGGAAACACTCCTAGACCGGTTGGCATGGAAACTAACCCCAGAGCATGCTGGGAGCATGCAGGCAGTCCTTGGACCCAGCTGTGTGGCAGGTGTGACAACACCCCTCCCCCCCAAAAATCACTGTGGAACCAAGGAATGTCTAATTTGACTAGAAGTAGAATAATAGAAATGTAATTGAGTTGTAAATATGCTATTGTTCCTTCTCTTCAAAAAAAAAAAAAGCACTAAAATACCTTAAGACAAGATGGACTTTAAATCAGTCTTTCTTGGCATATCACAATCTGCCTTATGAAATTATTCATTTAACAATGAATTATTCATTCAGTCAGTGAATGGGGCGCCTGGGTGGCTCAGTCGGTTAAGCATCAGACTCTTGATTTCAGCTCAAGTCATGATCTCACGTTGGTGAGATTGAGCCCCTCCACCTGAGCGTGGAGTCTGCTTAAGATTCTCTCACTCTCCCTTTGCCCCTCTCCGCCTCTTAAAAAAAAATAAAAATAAAAAGACTAACCAGGGCCTACGATCTAGTGTAATCAATACTTTTAGGGATGTCTGCTCATCTTACACCAGTACCCTTTCTCTGGAAACTTCCTCTCCCCACAGAGTGTTGAATTTGCAGGCAGCCTCTTCATACTGCAAGCCACCCTGACTGGATGAGAACTGAATACCCAGTTTAGATGGACAATCAGAGTCCATTAAAAAATTATTTACCAGATGTTGATGAACAGCTTCCGGGGCATGCAGTTCTAGCATGGGAGGGAGATGGAGTGGAACAAACATGGGTTTGCCACTGTTTTTGAATGCCTTGGAGTTCACATCTTGCCTCCCACATGTACAAGATCTAGCAGCTCCCTGAGACTTTGTTTCTTTATCCTTAAACTAGGTGCTTTTTTAACCCTAGTTTTATGAGCCCCAGTTTTATTGAGATATAACTGACATATAACTCGGATAAGTTTAAGATGTACAACATGTTGATTTGACATATTTAAATATTGTGAAATCATTCCCGCCCCTCCAGCCTTAGCTAACACCTCCATCCCATCACATAATTACCATTTCTTTTTTGTGGTGAGAACATTTAAGACTGACTCTTTAGCAATATTTGCATATACAATACAGTATTACTAGCTGTAATCACCATGCCCTACATTAGATCCTCAGAACTTGTTAATCTTATTAACTGGAAGTTTGTACCCTTTGACCAATATATCCCCATGGAAATGATTTTGCTTCAGGCTGGACTATTTGCTTAAACTCTACTATGCTGAGGAAGTAGGCCAGAGATTAGTCTGGTGGGTTTTACTGTTAATTATATACAAGTTTATCTTCCCCCCCCAACTGGTGAACTGGTTGGTAGCAAGAATTTAGTTCCATTCACCCGAATTCATCTGAACCCACCATACTGTGATCCTTGACATATGAAATTAACTAAATGTGCTATGAGAGCCATGAACCTTCTTGGGGGTTCGATCATCCCCCCCTGGAAAACTGGGTGCTTCAGATTTCACAGAAAAATCACAAGAGTTGTGAAGAAATGGTTTAATTGAGGGTGATGTTTACTGATTATATAAGTCAGGATCCTGGCAGGAAACAGTTGGCACACTTAATGCATAATTTGAGAACTTAATAAAGGGACTATTCACAAAGGGCACAGTGTAGGGAAACCACAGGGATAGTGTAACACAGGCCGTAGTAGGTTATAGTGGGTTGCTACCCCTCCCATGCCCAAGTGGAGAAGGTCAAGGAATGGTTCTGAGGACAAAGAGAACAAAAGAAAGCCAAAGCTTTGGGGCAGAGAGGAAAAACGTGAGAGCACCGTGGAGATGGGAACCCTGAACAGGAGCATGAAGTCAACCCTGGGTCACCTTACAGGCAGGGAACCTGACCTCACTCTCTCAAGTTCTCCTCCCTGTTAATGTCCTTCTGTTGTTCCCTGTTGGCCAAACTCAGCTGGAAGTCCAAGGACAAGAGAGCGGATTGATGCCATCCACGAAATTCAGCCTCCTGGGCAATGGAGCAGAGTGGAGGAGGGCATGGTGTGGATTGGGGGAGCAAAGGGAAGATCTACAGCTCCGTGACTTCTCTTTCCACCCACTTTATATTAGGCTCTCATCTCCTCCTAACTAGACATTTGCTGTAATCTCTTATCAGGTCTGATCATGGGACTCTCCAGCTGTCTACATCCTGATCTGGGCCTAATTTTCCATGCCTCCACCCACACTTGCATCCTGAGCCCCTACATTGAACTACTTCTAGTTTTTCCTCATGCCTCTTTATATTTGTAGGTACCACATTCTCTACCAAGAATGCCCTTTACAGTCCTGGACTACCTGTCAAAATTCTAGTCAGTCTTTACAAACTAAAGTTCACTTTTCTCTGTAATTTTCTGGCCCCATCCCAGCAGGGTTAGGCACTTTCTTTACTGTCCTCCCAGATCATCCTTCACCTTCCCATGGTCACACATGTTGCAGAGGACTGGTAACACTGGTTCATGTCACTTCCTCTGCTGTGGGTCCTGGAGGGCTCCTCTGTCTATTATACTCCATTCGGTATCCTTAGCACTTCCTGTAGTGCAGACATGACACTCAGGAAATGTTTGATAAATGAACACGTTTTCTGCTTTCAGTTATGCCCATCTTCCGTTAGACTTCCACTGACCCACACACCCTCGAGTTATTATTCAAAACACAAACTCATTGTGATCCTCTCATTCCTAGATCTCTCCAGAGCTTCCTACAGAGCACAGAATGATGCATGAGCTCTCTAACCTGTCTCCATTGGTCTCATCTACCAAACCTCCCTGGCTCCCTTCCTACATCCTCATCCCCATTCCAAGTCCTATGGAAGTGCCTAGAGCTCCCTAGCAAACCATACTTTCCCATATTTTGTCACATTTGCATCTGTTCCTCCTTCTGCCTGGAATGCCTTCTCCACTTTCTAACACTCTCCAACTCTCATCTCCCCACCCCCACCCCAGCTCTCCTCCACCAGTATACTTGGCAAGGTCATTTTTTTAAAAGACTTACCTTATGTGGCATTTCCTCTGTGAAATTTTCCTTGAAAGGGTTCTTTGCAATGCAACAGTTAGCTACTTTTTTACCCCTATGAAATTCCTTACACATTGTGTTGAAATGATTTATGTGTCACTATTGTCTTTCTTATTTCCAGAATCTCACAAAAAGCCTGACATATACAGTACAACTAACAATTGTGTCTTGAATGAATATATGACAAATGAATAAATCAATCAAACCTGAGTCTGGGGTCCCCAGGAGTTGCAGTTGCAGGGAGCAACGATTCTTCCTCTGGCTGTTTTTATTCAACACGTGAGGTCCCGCTTGTCTGTGGCACATAGGGGTGGGCCCAGTCACACCTGACATGACCAGTGGGGTATAGATAGAAGTGTCTGACACTGAAGAGCAGTGTCCTTAGAAGGAAAGGGAGCAGCCTTCATTCCTTTCCCCTTCTTGTGGGCTCTCCTGTGAATGTGTGGTCTGCCATTCCAATCACCATCTTGGAGCACAGGTTGGGAATGGCGGAACAATAAAGGGAGGGGGGGGACGGGGTCTCTGATGATTGTGGAGCTGCCATATCAGCCCTACATGATCTATGCAGACTTTTAAATAAGAGAGAAATAAAATTTTGTGTTGTTCAAACCCTTGTTACTTTAGGACTTCTGCCATTTGCAACCAAATGAAACTGTAATTAACATATTTTCTAAATCATTTCTGCTGGCTGAGCCAGAGTCATATGTCATGAAAAAAATTGGCAAATCACATCTTACTTTTCTGTACCTACAATTCTTGCTTCAGTTTTCTTTTGTGACTTTTCAAATCAGCTTCTGGGGAGGAATATTAAAAGCCTAAATTTAGATAAAAAAGGACATCACTCTTTCTTTATAAATAGACATATGCTTTATTGAATTTAAGAATTTCATCCTTACTTTGACAGCCGACTTTGAGTTGACAATGTCTATACCTCAGCATCATAGAAATAGTCAACAGAGATAAGTCTGCACTGCCAAGGAATGTTTTATTGTGATTTTAGTGGAAGCTGCTGCCTCCATTGTCAGAGACTAATTTACATTTGCCCATTTGTCTCAGTAACGTTTACCATTGCTTTAAATCAGTGCCCATAGCTCTCTCTCCAGCACCCCTTGATCTGGCTCTTAGGACATAATCATCCGGTGCATTGTAGCCCCCTGTTCATGCTTTTCAGTATTATTTTAATTTTGTTTTTGTTTTTTTGTCTGATTCACTTCTCAATAGGCAGAGGATGGACAGCAGTTTAGGAAAAGAGAATCATTATCCACCCCATCTGGCAAAGTTCAGCTTACTGTGTGAATTGGGATTTTTGTATTAGAAAAGCTGTGGAGATTTTTGATTAGATGGATTTTTCAGGGAGTTTTCCACGAGGAGTCAGCAGCCTGTGGTTATGTTCTGCACTTATTAAAAGATGGAGTTGTAACATTGATGTGTATGTAATCTCTTTTCAGGTTCCCATGGCAACAGTGGCAGCAAGTCAGTGAGTAGTTTTCCATTCTTCCTTCAAGACCTTCAGGCTGTAAGATTGTTTCAGAAAAAATAAATAAATAAAAACAAGACCTGTTCTTCCTTTAAAATATAATATATACTTTAAAACTCATTCTAATGAGACAGTTATGAGGCTAGGAATATCCAGAAAATGTTAGTTCAGTAAGGAAGTGGTTCTGCTAGTAACAAGCTGTCTGACCTTGGGCAAGTCAGTTACCCTCTGCCAGCCTTGATTTCTCTCATCTATAAATTTTGAACAAAAATATATCTACACTACAGGATTGTGAGAGGACTAAATAAAAGGATGTACCTGAACTGTTTAGCACAATCTGTGGCTTGATGAATATTTAGCCAGTTGGGATACATACAATATTAGGTTGTAAGCCTTCAATATGAATGTAACTGGCTTGGTCCTTTTTATACCAGCAGGATCAGTAGACATGTCTTTTCTATCATTCCTGATATTGAAGATGTGTATTTCCTCAATTTCTTCTCACTAAGGGTTTATCTGAGTCTTTATATTTAAAGTGCATCACTTGAAACCAACATGTATTTGGTTTTGGTTTTCTTAATCCAATTAGATAAGCTCTGTCTTTAACAGAAGTGTTTAGTCTATTGACATTTAATATAAATTATTGATATGGTTGGGTATAAATCTACTTTCTGTTTGTCCCCTTTGTTCTTCCCCTATTCCTTCTTTTCTGCCTTATCATGAATTAACAAAATGTTATTTATTATAGTATTCTAGGTCCTCTACTGGATTTTGAACTACAACTTCTGTATTCTTGTTTTAGTGGTTGCTCTAGGGATTACAATATTCACCCTTATTCCATTACCTTCCATCTCATCTTTGTGATAATGGTGTTGTCAATTTAACTCTATATTTGTTACATTGTTATAATGTCACATGCTTTATGTAGTCAATGATCTTTTAAAGAAGTTAACTAAAAGTAGTCTTTATATTTAACCACATATTTACTATCTTTGGTGTGTTAATATTCCTTCCTGTAAATCTGGTGTCATTTCCATTCACTCTGTGTAACTTCTTTGAGTTCTTATGGGTGTGAGTCTCCTGGGACCATATTCTCTCAGCTTTCATTTATCTGGATATGTCTTTATTTTGCCCTGATTTCGGAAGACCATTTCCATTGCACATATAAGTCTAGCTTGACCAGTTTTTCTTTAAGCACTTGGAAGTTTTGTTCTCTGGGTTTACGTTGTTTCCAATAAGTCAACCGTCATTCTTAATACAAATGTCATATGTCTTTTTTCCTCTGGCTGCTTTTATCTGGAGCCTTCAGCACCTTGATTATGATGTGCCTTGTTTTGGTTTTCTTTATATTTATCCGCTTGAGGTTCACTAAGCTCATGACATCTGTTGATGGATATTTTTAATTAAATTTGGAATATTTTTGGCCAATACTTGTTCAAATATTTTTATCTGCCTTCTTCACCCTTTCCTCTCCTTCTGAGGCTCTAAGTACTTTTCTGTTAGAATGCTTGTTCCTGGCCCAAAAGTCATTGAGGTTCTATTCATTTCTTAAAACTTTATTCTCTCTTTGTGTTTCAGTTTGGATAAATTCTATTGATTTTCCTTCTAGTTTACTGATCCTCTCTTGTTGATGGTCCAGTATGTCTTAATCTCATCAAATGAATATCTTTTGTCAGCTTTATAGAGATATAATTAACATACAATAAGATTTACCAATTTTTAAGTGTACAATTCTATGAGTTGTGACAAATTTATACAGACATGTAGTCATTATCACAATGAGGATATAGAACCTTTCTGTCCCCCCAACATGTTCTCTCTTGCCCCTTTGCAGTCACTTTCCTCCTACGACCCCCAGGTCCTGGTAACTACTGACCTGTTTATGTTTCTGTAGTTTTGCCTTTAAAAAAATAACAACATATAAATGGAATTAAGCAGAAAAGAGTTTTTGTGTGTGTGTGTTTAACTTCTTTAACTAAGCATAATGCTTTGGGGATTCATCCATGTTCTGCCATGTGTCAGTAGTTACAGCTGAGTAATATGTAGGTGTATGTGTATGAACCTGCCACAGTTTTTCTATTCACCAGTTTCCAGTTTAGTCCCTATTATTTCCTCATGGTTAAAGAATAGATGTCACTGTCAGTTTTGTTTTGTTGTTGTTTTTAAAATTTGAGCCTTGCTGTTAGGTATGGAGTGGTATTTCATTGTGATTTCAACTTGAATTTCTCTGATGATGAATGATGTTGAACATCTTCTCATATGCTTGTCATTTTCATATTATCTGAAAAGTGTGTTCAAATATTTGTCTGTTAAAATTTTTAAAAAATTCTTGAGTTGTAAGATTTGTTTGTTTATTTATTTATTCCAAGTAGAAGGCCTTTTATCAGATATATGTTTAACAAATACTTTGTCCCAGTCTTTGGCATGATTTTCCAATTTCTGACTATTGATTTTCAAAGAGAAAACTATTAAAAATTTGATAAAGTTTAATATATAATTTTTTCTTTTATGATTCATGCTTTTTATGTCACAAGAACCCTGTCTAAATCAAAGTCAAAAATTTTTCTTCTGTTTCCTTCTATACATTTTATAGATTTAGATATTACATTTATATATATGATTTATTTCAAGTTAATTTTTGCAAATTGTGAAGTAAGCCTCAGGTTTATTTTTCTAGTAGGGTTATCAATTGTACCAGTTGATTGTGAAGACTGTCCTTGCCCTATTGAATTGTTTTGGCCCCTTGTTAAAAGTCAGAATGTCTCATTTTCCCTTTTACGCTTCCATATCTTCCTGCTTCTCTTTCTCTCAACACTCACTACTCCCCATCCATCCATCCACTCATCCACCCATCTACCTGACTACCTCCTTTCTTGGTCCAGGAAACTTTAAGTCTTCATATCCAATGCTCAGCTCTCATAGGCAGAAAACCCTTACCTTTGTTATATTTCTATAATCAGTAGAGGGAATATAACTTGCAACTTCTAATTTCTATCATGTGCTTTAGAAAGTCCAGAGAAGGGATGCCTGGGTGGCTCAGTCAGTTAGGCGTCTGCCTTCGGCTCAGGTCATGATCCCAGGGTGCTGAGATCGAGCCCCGCATCAGGCTCCCTGCTCAGCAGAGGGCCTGCTTCTCCCTCTGCCTGACTGCTTGTGCACTCTCTCTCTCTCTCTAACAAATAAATGAATGAAATCTTAAAAAAAAAAAAAAAAAGGTCCAGAGAATTTTACCAGATTGTTGCTTAAGTCCCAAAGCAATAGTTTCCCCAATAAAATTCATCAAACTACTCTTTTGTCTTTTAAAAAATATTTATTTATTTATTTTAGAGAGAGAGAGGGAAAGAGTGGGGGTGAGCACGTGCCTGAGTGGGGGAGGGCCAGAGGGAGGGGAAGAGAGAGAATCTCAAGTAGACTCTGCACTGAGCATGACACCTGTTGGGGGGCTCTATCTCACGACCCTGAGATCATGACCTGAGCTGAAATCAAGTTAGATGCTTAACTAACTGAGCCACCCATGTGCCCCATCAAGTGACTTTTTTTTTTAGTGAAAGTATCAGGCTATGACCTAAAAGGCAAATAGAAAGAAGCCGGGGCTATCTTTTATTTAATGCAAAATAATGCCAGTTGAATTTAGAGTTATGGCGTGATCTGGGGTGGGAAAGTCCATACAAAACCCATGTAGTTTTTGAAAAAGTACTCCTTTTGAAACAGTTTGAAAAATTGCTTCAAAACAGTTTGAAAATCTTTTTGACAATTTGAAGAGCCATGATTAGAGAAAAACCATGGCTATATTTCTACTAGTATTCAGGGTTTTTTATGGTGCTTTACTGCCCTTAATTACAGTATTAGACAGTATCAACTTTAAATTCAAAAAGGGGTGGAGGAAAGAAGCCATCTGGAGTTTGTTTCTGTTAGAAGCAAGATTTCTAGTTGTGCTTTTGCTAAATCTTTATTGCTCATTCAGAGGTTTTCTGTTTGTAAGATAATCGTACTATAATATTATGTCTAACCTTTTATTTGCAGAGGCGCTTACAGTTTGAAAGACACTTGCATACCCATCATCTCATTTTATCCTCACTCATTCATTAATTTGACAAATATTTATTGAGTGTCCATACTGTGTTGGGCACCAAGGGTACAGTGATGAAAGAGATGATTTCAAATTTTATCTCTTTGTTGATCCTGCCCAAATTTATATCTCCGGTCTTTATAGAATCCCTCAAACTTCTGAGTTAGTATGTCTAACTGATTCAGCATTTCCACTTGGGTTTCTAATATGTATTTCAAAGTTAACTAATATGTCAAATCAAATTCACCCCTGCCTCCACACTTCTCATATCAATCTTCTCCTCCGCTAAGCCTCTCTAGCTCTCTATCTCCATTTCAGTTGTTCAGGTCAAAACCTAGGGAGACATTCTTTTTTTTTTTTTTTTTTTTTTTTTTTAAGTAGGCTCTCTGCCCCACATGGTGCTTGAACTCACAACCCCTAGATCAAGGCTTGTATACTCTACTGACTGAGCCAACTAGGCACCCCCAAAACCCGGGAGACGTTCCTGATTCTTCTCTCTCCCTACTCCCCTGCTTGCCCCATCTGTCAGGAAATCCTGTAGCCTCTACCTCTAAAATATATCTGGAATTGAAGCCCTTCCCACTACCACCATTGCTGCCACCCATTCAAAACACCTTTATTTTTTATCTGGATCATTGCTATAAATAACTTCGACAGTCACATTGCTTCCATTAAGACCTTCTTCAAGGGGTGCCTGGGTGGCTTAGTCATTTAAGCATCCAACTCTTGATTTCAGCTGGGGTCATGATCTCAGGGTCATGGGATCAAGCCCTGTATGGAGCCCTGCCTGGAGCCATGCCTTGAGCCCCACTATAAGCCCAAGTGGAGCCCCACCTCTGGCTCCGCCCTCAGCAGGGAGTCTGCTTGAGATTCTCTTCCTTTTCCCCCCACCCCATTCTCTCTCTCTCTCAAATAAATAATCTTTAAAAAA